TTTACAATCTTCGCACTCCATATATAGACTAACATATTTGCGCTGTTGCCCCCAACCACACTTGGAGTGGGTTGTTTCCGTAGGTGGATTTTTGACACGGGTCTTGCCCGTGTTGAGATTGCGCTGGAACCCCCATTCCCTATACTACTTAAGTATAAACAATCCCACTGTAAATTAAAGTGTGGCAGGTGCCGAGGTTGACCCGTGGCGAGGTTGGCATGGTCACCTCTTGCTAGTTGATAGCCTTGCTTGTCACTCAGTTTTGAAGTGACAAGTTAACAATTATAAATTCTATACACTTTTCCTAAAATATATACTTTATTTTGTATAAACTTCTTTAGCTAGTTAGTAATGTTTTCCCATTTTAATAATGATAATAACAAATAATAATAATAACAATAACTTTATTGAGAGTGTCTATGGATTTAGCTTTAAAAACTTACTGAGGACACTATCTCTTATCACTTAACCAGGACATCTTAGATCCATCCAAAGGCTACAGTAGTAAAGACGGTGCAGTAACTGTTGAAGTACAAGTAGTAGCTGATGCTCCACATGGTGTAGCGTAAGTACAAATTAGGAAAATTTATATTCATCGTGCAAACATCCTATTTTATCATTTTTTGATGAAAGGTCATAATTTACTACTGGTATTTTTTTGTTTTCAAATATTTTTTAAATTTTAGTTGGGACTCTAAAAAGCATACAGGATATGTTGGTCTGAAGAATCAAGGTGCTACATGCTACATGAATTCATTGCTGCAGACACTTTATTTTACGAGTGCCCTTTGCAAGGTAAAATTACTTATACTATTATACCCATAATCAGAGCTTAAAATTATGGACAATCAACAGACAATGGTGGCCTAAGTTGGCACTTGTATGGTCAAACACCTCTAAGGCTGGTTCTTTTGAGTGATATGGCAGGTCTTCTTGAACAGTCATGTTGCTGGTCACATATTGGGCAGTCACAGTATGTCCAGCCATAGAGCAGCCATTATTTTCTACCTCCACTATAATGAATTATTTTCATGTTACACAGGCTGTGTTTCAAATGCCGACTGAGAATGATGATCCCAATAAGAGTGTTGCTTTTGCATTACAAAGAGTCTTCTATGAGCTAATGCACAGGTATACTGTAGGATTTGATATCATCATCAACATATGAATCATAATCATAATCATTATCATCTGTATCACCATCACCATTGGTCCCCTCATCATCATCGCCATCATCATAATTCTGAACATTATCAACACCATCATTTATATCTTCATTTTAATAGCACAGCGCACTGATTCTAAAATAGCTTAAAGATTCGGACAAACATTGCATCCTGTTTAACCGCTACGAGGATTATACGAACCAATTTTATTATTTTTACTTAAAGTTACAATAATAACCTATGTAAACTAAGATCAACTGCGATCGGCTGTGAAAATTATCTGCTGACAGTAAACTTGTGAATTTGTTTGTCCGAATTTCGCCTTTGTCTTTGTTTTTATGACGTCACGGTTGCGCTGTGCTATTAATTTTTATCATCATTATTTTTAATCACTTAGTTTAACTAGCTAAGTGAGTGACATGTTTTTGTTTTAGTGATAAAGCTGTTGGAACTAAAAAACTGACAAAATCGTTTGGGTATGTTGTTTCTTCCCTGGTTTATTTATTATTGCTAATTTGTTTATTCCGTCCATATTTTCAATGGCATGATATAAATGTTGCTTGGTAATTTTTACTTAGGTGGGAAACTTTAGACAGTTTTATGCAACATGATGTACAGGAATTGTGTCGTGTGGTAAGTACAATAAAAATATATGTGTCTTTGCTCAGAAAATAATGCAAGTTCAGATATGGAGTACATATCGCTCTGCTGGGCTACCTGTGGTATGATAGTACCCACATTATGGGGTCCCTGTGGTGATAGTCCAACGGGGATTCCAAATAGTAAAAATCTGTTTTCTGTTGTTTATTTCTTATGAATTTGTTTTTCTATTTCTGTTTCAGCTTCTTGACAACATGGAGAGTAAAATGAAAGGAACTTGTGTTGAGGTACTTTTTATATTTTGCTCAGTTTTTCATTTCTAATTTCTAGTTCAACTATGAAACTATGGAATTAAAGATGTTTGTTGATATTTGTTGATGTAATATAATATTTGTTTCAGGGAACAATACCAGAGCTTTTAGAAGGGAAAATATTTGTGAGTATCATCATAGTTTATTTTTAAATTAATGTCAAAATGTATAGATATATAGAAGATGTGTGATGAACATATTTAATTGCATAATTATAAGGCCTATTTAATGTTTTACCATTTCTGACCATGTCATTCACTTGAATATTATTCATTTAAAAAGAGGAATATACAGTCATCTCTTGTCTTGCAGACCCAACCCAATATTATAGACAACAGCAAAATCCCTGGCAAAAAAAAATGTTGACAAAGAAATTACTCTTATTATTGCAGATGCTCACTATTATGGACAAAAAGTGACTGTTGATTGTAAATACTGTACATAACAAAAAATCTTATATTCAGCCAAAAATCACCCATAAAATCTATCAATGTCCAGATAACAGTCAGATGTACATACATTGTACAACAATCATTGAATTATGTCTACGCCCTTTTTTCCTCTTATTTTAGTCATACATCAAGTGTACCAAAGTTGATTACGTGTCAACAAGGTAAATATATATCTATATCTATTTTATCTACTTTTAATATGTTATACATATACGTTTTCGCTTTAGATATACTAATTTGATGCACATTTTGTCCAATTGTTTCGAGATTATTAGCTTTATTATTAGTTTTATTGCAATTGCTTGTGAATAGTTTATCAATTTAGTTTTATTTACCTTTGTATACAGTTCGTTAATTCAGTTTTATACTGCTAGAGGACTCAATAAACTATTATTATATTATTATTATTTATCTCATTTTTAAAAATTTTAAATCAGTTTTGTTTCACCTGATTTATTGTGTTTTTATTTTTTAAATAGAATATTTGATTTGTTTTTAGATTGGAGCCTTTTTACGATATTCAACTCAATGTAAAGGGGAAGAAAAACAGTGAGTATTGTCCCACAAGTAAATCTAAATAATTGAAATTTAAAAGAGCTCTTTACCTTGGGTGTAATGTTTTCCCATTTCATTCCATGTGTCATTCCCTAGAGTATCATTTCTTTGTTTAACATTTGCACATAAGAAGACACATGAATATGGATACAACTCAAACAAAGAAACTTATTCCCAAAAGAGTGACACATGGTCTGAATTGGTGTATGGGAAGTGGGAAATAAAAAATGGAATAACAGCAACTTTCTTTCATTTTGTTTTCAGTTATTTATTTTTTCATTTGCATAGAAAAAAGAGAAAGTTAATGAGGATATTTTTCATTTTATTTCCATTGAAAAAAGTGAATGGGAATATTGCTTCATTTTCTGTTTCAGTCTATGAATCCTTTAAGGAATACATAGAGGTAGAGCTACTTGATGGAGACAATAAGTATGATGCTGGGGAGCATGGTTTACAGGTGAGTGCCTTACAATGGCAGCGTCTATGTCTGTCTCCCCTTGGTTTAACTAGCAATGCAACAGTTCCTTTTCTCATTCAGTAAATACTGCTGTGTTTTATGACTACAGACTCATTTGTACAGGCTTAGCCTTGCTTAAGAGCAAATCGTAAGCAAAAGTCAACTGTAATCTAAAGGATGTGCAAGTTCTACAATACCAATGTTTTGAAATCCCACGGGCTTTTAATGGTTTCTGTGTAAATAGCTGACTTTTAAACGAGGCTAAGCCTGTACAAATGAGTCTGTAGTCTTCAAAAACAGTGGTATGCATCAAATGTGTTGCTGGATTTCATTCTAGATGGTGGCTAGTGGTGGTTGATCTTTGTTTGCTTAACCCCTCACTGCCGGCTATTTAATGATCAAATGGAAAATCATTAATATTGAGCTAGTACAGGACACAGCTGCCTATTTTGTCAAGAGATTCTCCTACTTCTAGTGCTATAAAGTGGCCAACTATTTAGCAGCCACTTGACAAATTCCTAAAAAAAGAATTGAATCTTTATTCATTTTATCAACAGGAAGCCAAAAAGGGTGTTATCTTCAAAAAGTTCCCACCTGTGTTGCATCTGCAGCTGATGAGATTTCAGTACGACCCGCAAACCGATGCAAACATTAAAATAAATGACAGGTTGGTGGAAGAAATGTACCTTTTTTTAATGCTCCRTCAAGTAATTCACAGCAAACACGAGGCACATATTATAAGCAGACTTGCAAATAATGATTGTATAATAATTTATTGTCTGCAGATATGAATTTTACGAAAAGATTCAACTGGATGATTACCTCCAGGAGCCTGAAGATTCACCAGCAAATTACACATTACATGCTGTACTAGTACACAGTGGTAAGATGTCTGTCCTAATGGCTTATATATTAGATGATGGTAGTATACCTTGGTACATTGTGCTTCACTCTATGTGTGTTATTTATTACTTTGCAGGTGATAATCACGGAGGGCATTATGTGGTATATATCAATCCCAAAGGAGATGGACGGGTAGGTTGCTATTACCACCACCATGACCATCACCAGCACCTTTGAGAAGCATCACTATCATCTACTTCATCATCGCCGTCATCATCATCATCACCATCATTATCATAATCATCGTTATTACAATAATGACTCCATTATCATTTATATCTCCAACATTACCACAGCTATCATTATCATCGACATCATCCCAATGACCATCATCATGACCATCATCATGACCATCATCAACATCACCACTAACATCAGTAGCATCACCATCATTATCCAAATGCAAAGAAATCTAATTGGATTTTCCACCCCATGGTGGACAGAAAGCCTAACAGGTTTTGCAAACCACTTGATAACGCTACCAATAGATTGGATTGGAATTTAGAAGTTGATTTTTGTGGAGGGAGAAAGAATAAAAGGAAGATATAAAAAAGTTTAGTTTTTATTGGTGCCAACTAACCATTTTCTTCATATCTTTTTGTTTTAGTGGTGTAAATTTGATGACGATGTTGTCTCACTGGTAAGTAACTAAGTGATAATTTTATTTTATGTTGGTAAATCTCAAATTCCTTGACTATAAGTGTATAAGTGTGCATAACTTGTGCTTATAGTTACGAGAAAGTACTTCCTTAATCTCATAAGTTATCTTATCTTTCTCAGGCAAGTAAACAAGAAGCTATAAACAATAATTATGGTGGCTACGAGGTTAGTAGTACTATAACAATTATATAGAAACCTTTTATTCTGTGGCCTTCATTGTTTTTAAACCCTAAAGCAACCTCTTAGCTTATCTAAGTCAGGGATCAGCTAACTCACAGATGGAACCCTGAAACAACTATTATTAGCTGATCTAAGTCAGGGCATAGCTAACTCACAGATTGAACCCTGCTACAACTTGACTGGGTCGATCTAAGTCAGGGCATAGCTAACTCACAGATTGAANCTCACAGATTGAACCCTGCTACAACTTGACTGGGTCGATCTAAGTCAGGGCATAGCTAACTCACAGATTGAACCCTGCTACAACTTGACTGGGTCAATCTAAGTCAGGGCATAGCTAACTCCTCAATCGAACCCTGAATTAACGTCTTGGCTGATCTAAGTCAGGGCACAGCTAACTCACAGATCGAACCCTGAAACAACCTCTTGGATGATCTAAGTCAGGGAACAGCTAGCTCACAGATTAAATTGGAATTTATCCATCACACTTGTATAAGCAGTTTCTTGTTACAACAAGAAGATTTTCCTAATAATAATGAATATCATGATCATTACCTAATGATTCTCTTGATTTCTAGGATGATATAGCTGTAAAGCACTGTACAAATGCATACATGTTGGTGTACATAAGGGATTGCACTATGAGTAAGTCTTGATATGCTATCCCAGAGATAAAAGCAATGGCTGGTTATCTGAGTCAGTCAAATCTTTTCCTTGCCAGTCATTTTCACTATTACATTAACATTGAGCCAGAAACAAGGTATAATGAAGCTAAAATTAATTTGGCTGGACATCAAAGTTTTCATTCAGTTTTGAAATAATATACCTCTTCGGCTCTGACTTAATGTTTTCCCATTTCAGACCACGTGTCATTCCCTTGAGAATAAGATTCTTTGTTTGAGCTGTATCCATATTCATGTGTCTTCTCATGTACAACCGAGCACAAACCTTAAACAATGAAATGATACTCTAGGGAATGACATGTGGGCTGAAATGGGAAAACATTAAGTCAGAGCCGAAGAGGTCTATAGGAGAAGATCATGAACTGCTGGAGAGACCAAGTGAACATTTCACAAATTACTAAAYCATTAATTAAAGTTTAAGAGAATTTTGCTCAGTTACTACTCAGCATTTTTTGACCCCAACCCTTAATTACAGCCCTGTGAACCAATGACTGGCGATTGACCAGGCTTTGTTTTTAGCCCTGCTATATCTTGATCATGTGACTACTATTATTTTATGCTTACATGCTTAGTGTCGATTCCATGTGCAATGCTTATTTAAATATTTAATTGCAGATGATATATTACAAGAAGTTGTGGAAGAGGATATCTCAGATTCTCTTATCCAAAGACTTCAAGAAGAAAAGTAAGAATTTTGTCTTAATATTAGAATTATTGACCACCATTTGTGGTTACAGGGCTAAAATATCAGCCAGTTACATGGACTGGTCACGTGGACTGGTCACATGGACTGGTCCCATAGACTGGTCCCGTGGACTGGTCCCGTGGGCTGGACACATGGGCTGGTCACATGGGCTGGTCACATGGGCTGGTCACATGGGCTGGTCACAATAAGTGGTCACATTGTTTGGTCTCATTAAGTGTTCACATTGACTGGATGCATTGACTGGTCATATTATTTAATAATCTAGGAAACTAGAAGTACAAAGAAGAAAAGAAAGAACTGAAGCACATTTGTATATAACAGTTGAGGTGAGAATACAAAAACTGATGGACAGATTGAAGGATGGAAGGTGGGGAATGGATGAAAAGGTGTTTGAAAGGAAGGATGGATGGATGAAAGGTGGGACGATGGAAGGATTTATGAAAGAATGGATGGATTTTTTGGAAAGTGTGGGGATGGATGGAGAGGGCATGGATGGTGGGTGGAAGAATGGGTTGGTAGTGATGGGGGAAGGCAGAAAGAGTTGATGAATGAATAAAATTATTGATTATTTCACTGCCTTTTTGCAGGTTATCACAGAGGATCAGTTTTGTGGTCATCAAGGACCAGATCTTTTTGACTTTGAAAAAGTTAAACTCAAGTAAGTATAAAGAAAGATTGCCACTGAAGCCTAACCTGATCGCATAAAGCACTCTAAAGATAAGAGCACCCAATAGACTAAGACAAAATGTAATACTTTATGCAGCTGGCTCCGGCAGCTTCCTTTTTTTTCCTCTAAAAATGTTTTTATGACCGTCATCATATTAAAGTATTTATATTTTGTTTTTCAGAATATTCAAAGTGTTGAAATCCCTTAAGCTACATGAAGTTCTGAAAATCATGGCAGATGGATTAGTAAGTGGATGGTGATAGAAAAAGAGATATAAGAAGAGAGGGAGTAAAGGGCAGATTAATTACTTTTATTGATAATATTTGAACTTTTACCTAAGATACTGCCAATGTTCCATTACTTTTACCTTTCAAAGATTCACAACCTTATTGATATAGGATTGATATTTTGTTAATATTTATCCAGGGATACCCTGTCAATCAAATAAGGCCTTGGCCTTTGCAGCAGCGAAGTAATGGTACAACAAGGCCTGCATTAATAGATCTAGATATTCACTTGGATAAAACAGTAAGTTGAATTGATCTATTGACTAGCAAAAAAGTTATAGGACCTACCTTTTCAAGAAATATCCTGATCAGCGACTAGCTGTTTAAATTAATGTTCTTTTGGTATTGCCTTTCTTTAGATAGGAAATGCTGTGGGAGCACCGTCATGGTTACTATTCTTAGAAACAGTTGATCCAGGTAAGTCTTTCAGAATTATCAGCAGACTATTTTCAATAGCTATCATCATCATCATCATCATCATTATCATTAATATAATTGTTATTGTACAGTCATCATCACCATCCTGATAACCCGAGGGGGGGTACTCTTGCCTGTTTAGGGTAGGGATGTGCCACTGAGCCCTCTGAACCCTGACCCTGTACCCTGTTCCGGTATTGCGAAAATAGATACCCTGTTCCAGAGAGGAGAGAGCGTGATTTCATGCACCCTGTTTCAGAGCAAGCGTGATTTTATATACCCTGTTCCATAGTAGAATCTCAACCATACCCTGTGTGGCGGCACRTACCCGTATAACGAATAAGGGGAGTACCCCCCGGGCCTGATAACCTTTACCGGTAACCCTTTACCGCTATTTCCAACATCATCGATCATTATCATCATCATTACTATTAGGTAGAAATCAACATCATATATTTAGACTATTATCAGTACCATCACTATAATAATTCACAGTTGCCATCCAAGCAACACCATAATCATCATCATCATCATCATCTAAACATTAATCACCTCCATGATCATGGAACAATCAATCTTCTTCATTCATACCATCATCATTACTATTTCTAAATTACCATTAAACATAATTGAGAGTATTCATTCATTTTTTGCTCTTAATCATCAAAATATCTTGACCATTGCTTTTCTTTAAGAGAATGGATGCGCGCCGCTTCCAAGCTATGATAAAAAAAGTAAGTTACCTTTGCAACCAAATCTAGAAAGCTTGAGTTCTATAGCACTGAATTCCTTAACATCCTTACAAGCAAAATTAGGGAAGATGATGGGTCATCAGTAGCCCCAATTTCGTTTAGTAATGTTTTTTTTGTTTACCTTTGTTGGTCCAAAGTATCCTTAAACCACTGTAAATAGCATTTCTGGAAACCATAGTTTATTCTTTTTGGGAGCATCATGACCCCAGACCCCCCTGGTCTCTTTTGCACAGTCAGTAGTGAGATTTGTCTATGAAATTATAAAATACAAAGTTCTGCCCCCACCCCCCACCACCATCCCTTCCTCATATTTTTGGAACCGCCCCTAATTTGACCATTATCTTTTGTGGTTGCAGACGATGTCTTGTTGTTTTTCAAGTACTTTGATCCTGTTCTGAAGTGTATAGCCTCAGTAGGGCATCTGTATGTGCCCTTTACTACTAAATTTGGTAAGTTACATTACACTATTACATCTCCCAAGCTCAACTAAAGGCTGGTACTCTGACCTCATGGCCCACAGGCCTGTGAGACTAATACATTAAGAGAGAATTCTTTTGGTATTCAAGTGGTGAGCTCCGAAAATTATTTTCTTGAAGAAAGGTTGTTGTACAAGCCTAAAATCTTGTTATTCGGAAAGTTTAACTTGTTTGGAAGTGGTGTTGACCAATGAAAGTGGAATCAAAGTGTTAACCCAAAGCAAAACTTTTATTTGAAAATGAGGTTTAGGCCTTGATTTGTTTATTTCCCATATGTTTTCTATTAAAAAGCCTGACAAAGTAACATTCTAACACAAATGCAACAAAACATCTTTTTACAATTGAAATTGAAAACACTGCTTCAAACAGGCATTTTATCATAGTACATCAGTTTCTAATTGTTTAAAAAAGGTTTTGAGTGTTAACCCAAAACGAAAATTGGGATCAAAACTCATAGGAAAGTCTAGTTTTGGGCGCTTTTTGCCATTATTGCTCACTATTGAAAAAACATTTCCTCTTAATGTGTTCATACTTTTGTGCATCATGCTGTGATGTCACCTTCTCTGTAGATGTTGATAAGTGCCATTAGTACCATCTAACTTGGTTACATAATTTTGTCTTTGAACTGCAAGGTGCTGGGTAATGTTGTTATGGATCTTTGTACTCAAGTGTTCTGTCAATCCCCTTAGTGCTCAAAATACAAATTAGAATAACTGTTATTTTGGATACCAATGACAAAATAGAAAGTGTGTGTGCATGCTGTGTGCTTTCATAAAGCACATGCTCCCATCCAATCAGATCACTAGAGTCATAACAGTCATTTAATTATAACATGATCTATTTTGTACATCATTTGCTGTGTAGTTGATCTGATGCCTTACCTGTGTGAACAAGCTGGATTACCACAGGGAACCCCTCTTTCAATATTTGAGGTATGCTAGCCTTTAATTTATATTATGTCACACCAAACACAGCCCATTTCTATTTTCATTTATGATAACGCCTTCATTAGACAGGATACACTGTTACCATACTGATAATTTCAGGTGTCCCTATATAAACAATTTGTTGCTTTGGATTTGGACTACTTTGTAAACATGGAAAAAAATATGTAGATCTTAAATCAATGAATGAATCTTGTTTTGCCTTATTCTAGGAAGTAAAAGCATATTATGCTGAACAAATTAAGGAATTAAATCAATCAATTGAAAATGTAAGTGATGTACATATGTTTTTATGGTATATATGAATATTATAGTTTTTATATGTTACCCAGAAGATGACCGCGTAGGTTGAAAGCTTGGTAGAATAATTTAATTATTATTTGAAGGTTAACAAAACAAATCTTACCAAATGAATGTATATATTGTTGCTTTGCTTAATTAATCTGTTTTTCTATCCATTCATTTATCTTTCCTGTATTCATTTGTCCCCTATTACTTCATATTTTCATAACATCTATTTAATATTTAAAATATACGAATTTCTCACAATTGCCATCCATCAAAACTCATCAATCTGCCCCTCCCGCTATTTTCAATATTCCACTTTCATCAATCATTATCATCAATTCCTTCTATCAATCCATTTCTCTCCCATCCAACTATCCATCCCTCTTTTCAACCATCCATCTCTAAACTCATTGATTCATCTCTCTCCTTTGTTTGCTTTCATCTATTTTTCACATCCCATCATTTATTTTTACTAAATAAATCCATTCATCTTTAATTCCTATCACCATTCATTCTTTCTCTTTTAGGGTGTTGAAGAGCTCACTGATGGTGACATCCTTTGTTATCAAAGGTGAGTTTGTACTTTAAAAAGTTATATATTCTTTCAAATCACTTTTCAATTTCCATCCATCCATATCCCAGAAATATCATTTTTATATTCCTGTGAAATTTCATTTAATTATTTTTTTCTGCAGAGCTGATCTGGATACAAATCTAAATGTGGTTGAGTTTTTCAGGTAGCTTAGCTTAAGGTGGCTGCCTACTTTTGAACGTTCGAATTGAGCCCACGATGTGTGCGAGCTCAAAAAACGCTGAAAAATCTACAAGATTTTATTGAAGAACCATACGCGTTTTGAGCTTCAACAGGGCAAAACCCTCAAATTTTGCACGGGACTGTATATTTTTTAATAGCGCATTTGAAAAAACTCCTAAAAATCTAGGTTATATCAACATTTTAGAAAAAGTTTAAATCACTAACACATGAAAAAATAGATTTTTGTAGGGATTTTTGTTCGACTTTATGAGATTTTTAAAGAGCACCGAAACTACAAAATATGACAAATCAAAGTATTTTTTTGTATTTTTGTCGAAAATATCCATATATTATTGTAGAATGATTGACTAGCCTTCATTCGTGCAATCATATAGTCTGCAAATAACTATTATCTTATAAATCTTAATTTTTTTCTAATCACTTCCGGTGGCGCAATTTTTACTCCAAAAGCTCGTGCGTAGGCTCCCATTAAATGCTGATTATCTCAAAAACGAGCTCGGGACACCCTATTTTTCTTTCCAGATTTGGAATCAGCATTAAATTTCAATTCGGAAAATCGAAGTTTTAAAAAAAATCAATTTCCAAAAGTAGGCAGTCACCTTAATTGAATCATATTCACTCTAACAATGTAAATATTTTATACTTATTATGTAGTTCCAAAAAATATCAAATTTATACCCCGTCATGGAGAAATTTTATTTTGACCCCTCACCCACAGAATTTCCAATTCAGACCTATTAATGAATCCCCCCCTGGAATTTCCAATTTTCTCTGTGATGGGGTATGGATATTTTTTGAACCTACACATCACACAATACTAAAAGAGTACTGATAATCTGAGGCATTCAAACAAAACCCTCTTATTTTGCAATGTTACCAAAACCATGCCAAAAGTCTAATCATTTGCAGATATTTTTAGAACAGAAGCAGCACCATTCTGCTTAGATATTTTAAGACCCTGTTTGTTGATCTGGCCTTGGGTTGGACCTCCTCTCACACTAGACTATTTCTTCTTCTACATCTTTTTCCCACCTTTTTTTGAATCAAAAAACCGTGGGCACCTAGAAATATTCTAGAAATGTTCTATTCTTTTTTGGCCAGTTAGGTTGACTTTCTAACCACGAGATAATGGAAAGATAACAATAAGACTTCTGATCGGCTATTGAACATTCTTGAAATATTTCTAAGTGCCCACGGTTTTTCGATTCACACTGTAGGAGCTTATGAAAACTTGTTAAAACTAGAATGTAAACAAGTTTAATGGGCCACATTTGTCAAGGTGCAAGGTTAATTCCCTATTACAGACCATATGTCATTCCCTAGAGTATTATTTCTTTGTTTAACAAGTGCCTATAGGAAGACACATGAATATAGAATCAACTCAAACAACCGAATCTTATTCTCTAGGGAAAAACATGTGGTCTGTAATGGGAATACTTTCCACCATGACCAATAAGGTCTACTGAATGGCACTGTGGATAAATTCTTATCTGGATGTTATGTCATTTTTAGAGATCTCCACCATCAAGTTGAAGTGCTGTTTTGTGATAAGAACAACCCTGCTGATCCTGGTTTTACTGTAATGCTGTCAAGAAGAATGAATTATATACAGGTGTGAAATCAAATATTGAAAACACCCATTCATTCATCCATCCATCCATCCATTTATTCATTCATTTATTCATATTTCAAGAGAGAGATGCGTTAATGAACAAAGCATCATCTTAACTATCATCTCTGTCACTCTTTGATCTCATCAACTTCTCAACAGCATTTTTAATATTTAACAATTTTTATTAGTATTATCATTACCATCGCCCATTACCATCATCATCATCAGAGCACCAGAATCATCATTACCATCACTACATCATCAGTATCATCATCACTACGATCATCACTACAACCATCAAACTTCATTACCTTCATCTCCATCATCAGAGCACCAGAATC